GTGCCTTGGCACAGTTTTGTACCGTGAGCCCTCTGGAGAGCAGCTCCTTGCCCCAGTTCCCTCCTGCACCAGGAGCTGCCTGGCACGTCTCAGCCTTCCTCCCTCTGTGGAGCTGAGGGCTGGTGTGGCCGTGCTGCGTGTTGCTCTGCCCTGCCCTGCCCTGCCCTGCCCTGGGTGGCAGAGGACAGCAAGGCACCCCATTCCCCCATCCCTCTGTCCCCCATCTCACTGCCACCTGTCCTTCTGCCCCCATCCCTCTGTCCCCTGTCCTTCTGTTCCTGCCCATGGAGGAGCTATCCGTGCTCACAGCACCTGGATCTGTCTGACTCCTCTGTGCACAGTAACTGAGGACTCAGATAAGAGCTGATCTGCATGGTCTGTTGTAGCAGGAAAAGCAATAATGTTTTTAAACTAAAAGTGGGTGAGTTTAGACTAGATATGAGGAAGAGATGTTTTATTGAGAGGGTGGTGAAGCAGCAGGGTGCCCAGAGCAGCTGTGACTGCCCCTGGATCCCTGGCGGTGTCCCAGACCAGGTTGGACAGGGCTTGGAGCAACCTGAGGCAGTGGAAGGTGTCCGTGCCATGTTGGCACTGGGTGAGCTTTGGTCCCTTCCCATCCAGACCATTCTGTGATTCTGTGCTGCTGCTCCTGCCAGTGACCTGCAGGGATGGGGTGTCATCCCCATGCTCACTGTTGTCCTGCCTGCTGGTGGCTGCTCACCCCCTCTCAGGTGCCACCCAAGCCCTGTCAGTGCTGCACAGACTGGGCACGGGGCCAGCTGCTCTGGAGGGCCCACAGCACAGCATGGGGGCCCCAGGCATTCCCCATCCCTGCTCTGTCCCCTCAGCACAGCTGACAGAGGTGGGCTCTCAGTGTGCTGAGGGAGGGGACATTTCCTGGGGGCAGTGCTTCCCACACGGCTGAGCTGAGCTGTGCAGCACAGCCAGCCCTCCCTCCATGGAGGAGCTGAGCTGGGGGAGGCTGCCCTGCACCACGGCTGAGCCCAGCTCTGCCAGGGCCAGGCTCTCTGCTGTGCTTCCATTCCCCATGGCAGGGCAGTGAGGAGCTTTGCTGCGCTCAGAGCTGATGCTGGGCACATGGCAAGGCTGTAGGTGCCATCCCAGCTCCTGGGGACAGGCTGCCTGCTCTGGTTGTGCCCTGGAGGAGCAGTGGGATGGGGCCAGTCATAAGAACGTGCTCCAGCACATTCTATATCTGTCCCTTGTGCAGGAGCTCTGCAGCCCACCTGTGGGGTCCCAGGGCCCCCCTAAGGCTGACTGCTTTGGAGAAGGGCCCAGCAGGTCCCAGGTGTGCCTGGGAGAGGTTCCCTTGGTGACCTGGGGCTCTGGAAGTCCTTGGGTGGGTCAGAGGGGTTCAGTTGTCCTCCTGGGGAAGGAGAGAGTGAGCAATGCCTGATCTAACAGAGGGAGTGTGTTCCGTGTGCTGCCCCCACGCCATTGCCACCCTGTCCCCATGCCACAGGGCCCTGCAAGTGCCCAGCTCTGTGCTGGCTGCTGGGCAGTAAGAGCAGGGACGTGGGTGAGGATCCCTCAGGAGCTGCCAGGCTCTCAGCAGGCCACAGGAGGGGAGTGCAGAAATGTGCAACCCTGTCACTGAGCCTGGAGCGGGGCAGGGTGCCAGAGGTGTGGCACTGGGCCCGGGGAGCATCCTGGTGAGCAGGTGGGCAGCAGAGGGAGGATGGAGGCACCACGTGTGGCATGGTAGCACCACGAGAAAGTTCAGGTCCCCTGTGACATATGGCTGGGAGCTGAAGGTGCTTCACACCTGCTCCAAGCACGGTCCTGTAGCAGGATCAGTAATTTATATTTAGAAAACTGGAGTCTGATTTTATTAGATTTATCTCTCTTAATTGTCAAGGGTGCACTATTTCCCCATGGATAAATAGCAGCAGAAACACCCTACTGGTGTGTGTCAGTGAGGAGAAGGCAGGGCTGGGAGAGCTCCAAGGCTGCAGCCTCTCTGAGCTGTGAGGGGACACCAGCTGCACCTCGGTCCCTGCTGGGGCAGCTGCTGCCTCTGACCCTCTGCGCCTCTCTCCACCCCACTTCTGGTGTTTGTCGAGACCACCAAGCCCCAAAAACCAGTCTGAGCAAACCAGGGTGAGCCAAGGGAGCAGAGGATGGGCTGGGGTGGGAGAAAGGCTTGGCAGGTCCCTGCCATCCCGCTGCTGGAGCTGCTGCCCTTGTGCAATGCTGTGGTTCCTTTCTTAACTCCAGGTGCCACACAACGGGCAAATGGGAAGTCAGGACTTGCTGGGGGACACTGGGCTGTGGCAGAGGGCACAGCAAGCTGCCCGGGGCAGGGGTCCTGGGCGTGGAGCTGCCATCTGTGCCCTGGGCTGGGTGGACACTGGAGAGGCAGGAGTGGATTTAGGAGAGGGTTAACAGTGCAGCGAGGACTCCTGCGCCTCGTTGCCTTCCCCGGAGTCTGCATTTTTATGCTGATTGGAAGCCTGCGCTGTGTGTGCTGCTGAAATTGAATGTCAGGCTTTTGATTTTGTTGCTGGTCTCTAATGAAATTTGACATTTAATGGTGAGTGCAGCGGCAGCGTGTGTGTGTGTGATCGGAGCTTGATTAGCGCACTCTAATTGACAGTAATTAGGCAGCTCCCTGATTGTTTCTAATTCTGCTATTAATTGTAAGGAACAGTATGATTGAGGATAAATTTGGTGCGTTGCTGCTGGGGATGCAGCTTCTTCAGCTCCGTATCGGAAGCCTATTGAGCCCATCACGCTCAGGTTCCTGAGTGTGGCAGCCCCAGTCACCTCGTCTGGCAGAGCAGTGCTGGGAGGGCAGGGCTTCTGCACAGGCCCTGGGGCCCGGCTCTGCCCCGAGAGCCACATCACCTCCTGGGCTGTCCCTTCCCCAAACGCCTCCCAGCCCTGTGAGGGCACTGCCTGTGAGGGCACTGCCTGTGAGGGCACTCGCTGGGGACCCCGGGCTGCTGCAGAGGTGCTGCTGCACTCGTCCGGCTGCGCGGGTGCCGGTGCTGCCCCTGCGGGATCGTTCTGCACGGACCCCAGTGCCAAGGGAGCACAGCCTGACTGCCCTGTGGGATCATTCTGCATGGATCCCAGTGCAGCCTGGTCCGGCCTGACTGCCCTGTGGGATTGTTCTGCATGGATCCCAGTGCAGACTGGTCCAGCCTGACTGCCCTGCGGGATCATTCTGCACGGATCCCAGTGCCAAGGGGGTACAGCCTGGCTGCCCCTGTGGGATCGTTCTGCACAGATCCCAGTGCCAAGGGGGTCCAGCCTGACTGCCCTGTAGGATCGTTCTGCATGGATCCCAGTGCCAAGGGGGTCCAGCCTGGCTGCCCCTGTGGGATCTGCCAGCCCTCAGCTGCAGTGGGTGTGGGAGTGGCCCTGTGCCATGGGGCTTTGCAGGTCCTGCCCTGTCTCATGGGGTTGTGTGGGTCGAGCCAGCCAAGTACCGGGGCTGGCTCCAGAGTGCTTTGTGTCTCTGGGAGAGGAGTGTCACTGTCCCATGTGCATGACTTGCCTTATTTCTCTCCCCAGCTAACGGTACTGCCGACTCCCTCAGCTCCAGCCCAAACATTTCCAGTGCTGCCAGCCCAAAGCTGGAGCCGCCTCCGTCACCACATGCCAACAGGAAAAAGCATCGCAGGAAAAAGAGCACAGGGACAACTCGGCTGGATGGCCCCAGCACGGCAGCAGAAGGTAGGAAGGGTCTGCCTGGGGCAGGTCAGCTGCTCACAGGGTCCTGGCTGCTCTCTGGGGCCTGGGGCTTGGGGTGCTCCTCGTGCAGGGCTCAGTGGTGACCTGCGGCTCAGAGCACTCCTGGTCCCAGCAGCTTGGGCTGGGGCAGGAAAAGGCTACCAGCCTCTCTGATCTGCCTTTCCCTTCATTTCCCACATGTCCTGCACAACCACCATCATGCCTGTGTGTGCTCAGACAGTCACTGGTAATTAAAATTGCTAACTGTAGCAGCAGCCCTGAGAGTACACCATTTGGTTAAGGTGTGCTCTCAGACACTTCCCACTGCAAGGACCTAATTCCACTGACTTGTAAATTGCCCAGACTTTGATAATTTAGAAGACCTGTGCTGGGCACCTGCCTCAAGCCAAGGGTCTTTTGGAAGAGCTGGTCTGCTTCAGGGGACCCCTGAAGGCATGTGATTGCTTTCCCAATGTTCAGAGAACTGATGGGGTTTGTGCTGAGAAATTCTGGTGTCTGTGCTTGCTGAAGAGGGACCCAAAGCTTGACAGGGAGGCTGCAAGGCATGGGGAAGACCCCAGAGTTGTCCAGGTGGAGATGAACCTGGCAGTCATGTTCTCTAAAGCCTGCATCATGATATAGCTGCTGGAAAAGTGAGATGTGACTTTATCCTTGGTCATCCTGTCCCACAGCACTAAATAAGCTTCTGCAGTGAACCAAAGTAAAGATATAATTCCCAGGGAAGGAAGTTTCAGTACAAGTGTTTGAAGTTAACAGTTGCTGCAAAACAATCCAGGAAATATTAGTCTGTACCTGAAGATGCTGCAGCTGCCCTGGCACCTTGCTCCAGTCTGCCTGCAGTCCAGCAGCCCAGGTGTCCCATAGCAGAGCAGCTCAAGTTCTTGTTCTTGGAATCATTGTCTGATGATGTGCAGAGCTGGGCAGCTCTGCTGGGTTTTTTCACTGTTGTAGTTGTCTGCATCTGAAATGCACAAGTCTAAGACAGGCTTCCCCTCTGTGGTGGTGGATTGAGGAACCTTGAGCATGGTTTGAGTCTGTCAAACTGGTGTCCCATGGACAGCAAGAAGCTTTGCCTGTATTTGCACTTTGTTCTTGGCTCTGTGTGCGTGTTGCCTCCTCAGACCCACTGTTGCTCTGCCCAGATTGGTTTGCAGTTCTCAGCCCAGTGCTGGGCAAGAGGAGAGGCTCATCCTTTGTATGAATAGTGGGGCAGTGAAGGAGGGCATGGTTTTGCACCCCCACACGTGAGACTGAGAAAGCCTGTGCTGAAGTAGTGTGTGCTGCCCTGTAAATAAATGCCAAGGGAGTTGTAAAGGAGGTCCAAAGCTGACCTTTGTGATGATTGGGTTTGTGATGGGGACACGAGGGCTCTCAGCTGAGCACAGCAAAGGCCAGGAAGCACAGGACTGGTGCGTTGGTGCTTGCAGAGGAGCTCTGGTCCTGCGGCCGCTCAGGTGATGGAGAGTGGGAGGTGCAGAGGCTGGGACCTGACCTTGCACAGAATGGGATGCCTTTTCCTAGTGGAAAAGGGAATTGAATGTGGGAACACTTTTATGAAGCAGTAACACGGACTAACCACTGCTTGAAGTCTTAAAATTTGATTAGTTCCTTTTGAACAACACATGCGTTCTTGGCAGAATTCCCAGCCCTCTGCTCCCAGATGCACAGGCTGGAGGGCTGTCACCCTTCCTGTGTGCCCAGGACAGGAGTCTTTGAGCAATCCCAGGTTTTCCATCATCTCACAGGCATATTTCTTCTGACACATGGTCACTCTTTCTGTCCTTCCTGGTTTGGCAGCATCCCTGGAAGGTGGAGTGATGGGGGTGGAGACGTGGGGCAAGCATGAGTGCATCAGAGTATTTTTGTTGTTTCCTGCACTGGTCCTTGGCTGTGGTGGTGAGCTGGGCAGAGATCTGTTTTACCTGAAGTGTCTCAGGTTGATATAGTTAATTTAGAGCCCTATCAGGTGTTTTAGCAATGTAACTTTTTCCTACAGTGTGCATTCCTCGGCATTTTTCAACACAGAACTTCATTTACCAGTGTCGGTTGCCAAACTTCACCTGTCACTGCACAGACCTTGCACGCTGTGGATGCTGGTGCTGCCAGAACCTCTGGCACCAGTACTGGGAGCAGGAGGAGCCCGCAGTGTGTGGTGTGCAGTGCTGCTGGTGCCACAGTGCTGGCAGCAGGCGGCTGAGCTGCTCTGGGGCTGAGGGGGCAGCTGTAACCCACCTGCACACAGGCAGCCCATGCTCCAGTGCTGCAGTGGAAGGAGCAGGGCGAGCACCATGGGAGGGTGAAGGGGGCACGGCGCAGCAGATGGGGCAGCTCATCCTCCACGTCTCCAGTGTGAACCCAGGCTGTCCAGGCCCCTGTGTCCTTCTCCAGAGGGGAGTGGGTGCAGCCCCTGCCCACTCAGTGCTGCTGGGGCAGAGCTGGCACAACCAGCTGCTCCCAGACCTGTGCTGGGGCACAGCGCTGCCGTGGGCTGCTGCAGGGTGGGTGTCTGGCTTCTGGTCAGCTGTTGACAATCTGAACTCACATTTCTTTTTTAAAAGAATCCAGTGTATTGGAAAATTGATCCAATTGCAAAATTGGAGCTCCAGAGGCTGGGTCACTTCTGTCGTGCTCCCAGCTTGCCCTGCATCAACAGGACCTGCTGCTGTGGGCAGCCTCTGTGCCAGCAGAACCATGCTCTGAGTCCACGGGAGCAGCCACTGTTGCTGCACTTTGAGCTTCCCAGCTTGGTTTTAGCCAGTGCCAGCAGCAATGAGCTGTGTGCCCCATTTTGGCATGAGGGGCTCATCCTCAAGAGAGGACCATGTGCATCCCTGTGCTCAGTATGAATTATGGACCTGGGTCACACATCCTTTCCATCCACCCCTGCCATGTACCGGCTGCACAGCTCCTGCCCTGGTACCTCTGGGAGTCACTTGGTTGGTCTCTCTCCTGCTCTGAGCTCCAGGACTGTTCCAAGAACTGATGCAACTCTGGACACTGTGGTAGCTCATCAGCAAGACCAGCAGGGCAAAGGCAGAGGAGTGAGGGACTCGGACTGGTGCTCAGGTGCCACCCATGATGGGTCACTGTCCTGCATGCCAACCAGAGCCTGGCAACAAGCATGAGGAGATGCTGAGCCAATGTCTGAATGGTCCAGCTGTGGACCCTGGGCTGAGCATTGCCCCACACCATGGGCATGGCCAGTGGTTTGTGTCGTGGACTGGTGTTCATAAGTATGACTGATACACCCCTGAATCTTTTTTAGCTGCTTTGAACAGTTATGGCAGTTTTTTCAGAGCAGGGTAATTTGAGGCTTTTGCTTCTGCATAGTCATCATGGTGAAAGTGTGAAATTGCTGTGCCAGGAGCGGGCTGTCGGGCCCTGTGGCAGAGCTGCCATCCTGTGTGGCTGAGCGGCTGTCCCCTCGTGGTGCCTGTCCCTCTGTGGAGGTTCACTGTCCTGGCAGGAGCGTGGGGACAGCCCAGTGAGCAGCCCTGCTTTCTGTTAGCTCGCTCAGTGTGGCTGTACTGGTGTGGGGAGTACTGTGGAGGGACACCCCCAAACTCCCCACCTTCCAGGAGCTGCAGGGGCCAGGCAGGGTGCCAGGCTCAGCCTCGGTGACAGCACCCTGCGGGCAGCAGCAGCCCTGGGGCTGTGGAGGGAGCAGGTTTGCGCTGTGCTCGGGCTGCCTGCACCTGCCTCCACCCGCCCCACGCCGGGAGCTAGGCATGAGCAGCTCAGGTTAGCATCCTGGGAAAGTTGGTGAGGTCTGGGGATAAATTGCCATCAGTTTATCTCATTTAGGAGGTAATCAGAGCCAGGGACGTGCAGAGCAATTGAATCTTAGTTGTTCTGAAGTATCATAAACCAAACGAGCTGTTGCTTTTTTACATGGGCTCATGTTAAAGAGAGCTCTGTGTCAGGCTGCCAGGGAGCATCCGCAAACTATGGCAGGCGTGGGATTGGGCTGCCGGAGATGTCACCGAGCTGGGGAGTGCAGCTCGGGCTGTCAGGGAGCACCCACAGGCTGGCAAACGCGTGTCAGGCTGTCAGGGGACGGAGATGCTCATCCCCTGGTGTAGGTGCAGTGTCATCCTGCAAGGACCATCTGGAAAGTCTGCTCTTACCAGAGCCCAGCACAGCTCTGTGGCCAGGAGTGCCCTGTCCTGGCGTGGAGCAGCCCACAGCCCCCCTGCAGCCCCTCTCCTGTTTGCCTGGACCCTGGGCCCCTGTTGGTGCTCCCGGGAGGGCCCAGGAGCCAGCAGACACGGCTGAGGGCAGCGGCACCTTCGCGACGCTCCCTGCTCCACTCTCCCCATGGCTGCCACAGCTCCGGGGATAATGAACTTCTCATGTGCTTAAAGAGTGATGCAGGGTGCATGGCGAGAAGCTGACAGCCCCTTAATGTGCTTCTCAGTGGCGGCCAAACGACGCGGTTTTGTCTTTGTTTTTTAGTTTTAAAACCCACAGGAAATTGATGGCCAGTAAAGAGTTGTGTTGGGGCGATGTGCGTGATTAATGCCAACTGTCAGGGGCTGTCGAGGCCCATCGTGGCAAGGCAGGAGTGTGAGGCTGAGCCGTGCTCACCAGATTGCTGGGGATTCCAGCTGCTATCGCTCAGCTCCCGCCTGCCCCACACAGCTTTGTCACCCGCGCTTCCTTCCACCAAGCCTCTTAATTCAGTGCTAACAAGTCACTCCAGCTCATTACAGACCTTGGAGCTCCCTGCTCAGTCCTGGCGGGAGGGAGGCAGCCTGTGCTGGGCATTCTTTGGTTCAGCTGGTCCCCTGTCTCCATCAGATCCCACCCCTTCAGTCTGTGGTTCCTCGGGACCTTTCACAGCTCTGTGTTCCCCTCTGAGGGACCCTCATGTGCGCACCCCTGACCCTGCCACGAGCCCCTGCTCACACCATGAAGCCCGTGCTGTCTGTGCCCTCCCTTCTGTGACCTGCCTCCCTGACACCTGCACACACCCCCAGGCC